CTTTCAAATTCTTTTATTGTTAATTTAATCTTTTTAAATTCATAAATCTTAAATCTTTGATAAAATCTGTTTTAATAATTAATTAAGAGTTAGTTTAATTACAAATTAGTCAAACAATCTTTGGGGACAACGACCTTGCATGAGCGATTATACTACAATTACCTTGTATTCTTGCAAGTATTTTCAGTGATTTTAACCCTATTTGCACAGGTACTAAAAAAATCCTATCAAGAAATTAGCACCGACATCGAGGATTGTTTTAATTAATTTGTTTTTATCATATTCTGAGTTAATTGTTTTCGTTAAAAAAAATCGTTTTCATTTTCATTTTCATTTTTTTTTCTTCAGATTGCTGAAATCTGTGCATGGTCAGCACTAGATCACAACCTGCACAACTTGTTCCATTTGACCCAGAGCCTAAACGGATATTACGAAAACAGCGTAGAGAACAATTTTTAGCATCTGATCCTTCACTGCAGGACACATTTCTGCAAGATTTGTTTGCTGATTTTGTGGAGAGCAAGGTTAAAATGGCATTAGCAATACCTGCAGCAGGCAAACCACTCAAATAGTCGTTGGATGCCTGTGCAAACAATGTTCCTAATTCTATAGTCTATCCAGCCCAGGAAGAGGGAGATGCATTTGAGATCAAGCACCACATGTTTGAAATTTTACCAATGTTTCATGGGCTGCCTAACGAGGATGCTAACATACATATTGCAAAATTTATTATGGGTTGCAAAAATATTTTGATCAGGGGTTTTTCAGCCGAAGCTATTAAGTTACGTCTTTTTCCTTTTACTTTGAAGGATAAGGCGGAAACTTGGTTATTCACTTTATCGGCGAATAGCATTACAACTTGGCAACAATTACATACAAAATTCCTGAACAAGTATTATCCAGCATCCAAGACATTGAATTACAAGCGGAAGATTATGACATTCACTCAAAAACCTAATTAAGAGTTTCATGAAGAGTGGGAGAGATATACAGAGATGTGCATAAAAGCCATGTTATGCCTCAGTCGGAGGATCGTTGTCAAATAAATCTGCAAGAGAGGCGCTTGAATTATTTGATATGATGGTTACATAATCTCAACAGTGGGCATTAGAACATTCACAGAAATTGGGCATTTTTGAGTTATCAGCAGGTTCTCCTAATATGTTTGCACAAATGGAAAAAATGGAGAAGAAAATTGATGCAAAGTTTGACATTATTTTACAACAGATAGCAAATTCTACACAGCAACAACCACTTGCAGCAACAATTTGCACTATCTGCAGTATGTGTACGCACAATATAATGGGCTGCCAGCATAAGGAATCCTACTAGGAGCTTGTTGAGCAACATGTTAATATGATGAACAACTATCAAAGGCCTAGGAATGATGCGTATGCAACTCATTACAATCCAAGATGGATGGATCATCCTAATTTCAAATGGGGTGACAATCAGAATCATTCAAAACCATTTCAGCAAATACAAAAACCTTTTGTGCCACCCAAACCATCCTTGGAGGATCAACTAGCTAAACTGGCAGCAACAACACAAACATTCATGGATGGCAACAATAAAAGATTTCAGAATATTGAAGCATCAATTAAAAGTTTGGAACGACAATTTGGACAGCTGGCTACCCAGATTTCAGACAAAGAAAATGGAAAGTTTCCTAGTCAAACGGTGCCTAATCCAAGAGGTACAAAGGATTGTTGTGCAATACGGACTTTAAGGTGTGGTAAAAGTTATGAAAACCGTGAAAATTGTAATGAACAAAATCTACCAACAGTGCAAATTTCTGCGGAATCTATGATACCAGCAGCAAAACTTGAAAATTCTGCAGCAAAACAGAAGCTGCCTAGTGTAGAAACTGTCCGAAAACAGGTTTCTGACCGCATTTATGACCCTCCACTGCCCTATCCTGAACGGTTAATTTCGACGGCTAAGAATCAGCAGTTAAAGGACTTCATACAGACATTGGCTAAAGTTCAAATTAATTTACCATTTTTGGAAGCCATTAAAAGGATTCCTTCCTATGCCAAGTTTTTGAAAGATGTTTGCACCAAGAAAAAGCTAGTAGAAACATAAAAAAGTGTACTAATAGAACAATGCAGCGCAGTTTTACTGCACAAATTGCCTCCAAAGAAGAAAGATCCATGGAGTTTTACTATCTCTTCCACCATTGGAAATTGTAGTTTTAGTAGTGCTTTAATTGATTTAGGTGCTATTCTAAATTTAATGCCTTATTCTGTTTTTAAACATTTAGGTGAAGGCAAGCTAAAGCCAACCTCCAACATTATTCACCAGCTGATTTGTAAATTGTCAACTTTAACAATAACATCTTCAAGAATAAAAGGTTGCAAGTCAGTTCAATTTGTAAAAAAAATACAGCTTGGTAAAAAAGTGTGGTTGTTAAGTTCAGATTGCAAGTCATTTCCAGGGAGACAGGAATCTCGGTGGAAAAGCCCTTTTCTAGTTACTAAAGTTTTTCAGATGGTAACATGGACATCAAAGCTAAGGGTAAAGGTTTCGCATTTAAGGTTACCAAACATCAACTTAAACCATTCATAGAACAATTCGGTGCTCTAAAGAAACCAATGATCTAGCCATCAGACTTCTGCAACGTCTAGCTCTATAGACATTAACTAAAGCACTTATTGGGAGACAACCCAATTTTTTAAACTATTTCCTTATTTTATTTTTCGAATGACTTTCAATTTTATTATTAGTTTAATTTTCTAGATGCACTTACAAACCAACATAATACAAAACAAAAAACAAAAAAACAAAAAAAAAAAAACAAAACAAAACAAAACAAACAAATAGAAGAAAAAATCCAAAAATATGTTGCTTTCTTTATTTACCCAGTTAATTTCATTTTTTAACGCATATTGGTTAATTGCAGGTTGCAAAGCATGGAAAATAAAGAGCATCCTATACTGGAATCATGCGCCCAGCAGCAAATCTACATTAACATCACCGCATCTACACTATGCTGGAAGATAAAGCAATCAACATGAATTCATTCGAAATTATACCTTCGAGATGCACAGATATGGGGTCCTGAGGTCTTTTTGCTGTTTTTGTCCTTTGAGCTTGTGTGTTTACTGCTATTTCCTTTGAATCTCTCATGAATCCGCATACCCTACATAGCGAGCACCAATATGAGTACATGCAGGGACAAATTCTAGAATTAATATGACCTTCATATGGACAGTGGATCTTGAGATGTCTGAGCTGTTCATCCTTTATCATTGATGCACTGAGGCCACACTAGGGTTCGTACACATATCAGAACAGAGTATTACTCAGAATATGCTTTTCATGAACCAGATTATGTCTCACTTAAATACTCAATGGTGCGAAGGTTAATTCAGATTTACAGAATTTTTACCTCTGCATGACTTGGATTTGGCGACTCAGGGTGGTTTGCTCTTGTTGTTTGTCTCGGTTTTGCAACGATTGGGGGTCCTCACACAGATAAAACCACATGCATGTGTTATGACCTTGTTACATTTCACTAAAACAAATCAATCTGAAACGAAAACTAAGAAGATTTAAGGCTGGTTTTACCGTCGACATCTCAAATTTTCAACTCTCCACCACAGCTGGGTACTCACGGAGGTGTGTTCGTTGCTGGGTTATGGGTTACAGAACGGATGCAGCACTTAGAGAGGATGAAGGAGCTGCTGTGAGATGGAAGGGTTGTAATAATGGGCGCTGGTGTGAACATGCTGTGAGATGGAAGGGTTGTAATAATGGGCTCTTGCGTTTTTTAGAGAAATGAAGAAGAGAAAGGGCGGAGATGGATGGGTTTGAAATGAGAGCAATAAGTGATTTTTTTTTTCTAGACACATAAAGAGGCTTTGGTTTCTAAAAAAAATATTATTAGTCTTTGGCAAAGGAGATGGGAACAGACAAAAGAGAGTCGTTTGGCTCTGGGCTCAAGGTTAGTGGAAGGGGATCCAATGTGTGTTTCAAGAATAGCTAGGGTTTTTCAAATGACAAATGCCGTTGCTACACCAGGGTATATTGCAGCTGTTTCTAGGATTTGACACACGTGTGGATTTGTACGTGTTTGTCAGCGCGTCTTCGCAAGTTCCCAGCTACCAGGTCCTGATTTCAAATCCTCGAAGTGTCCAGTAGTGTTTTATTTTTCCACATTTTTGTCAGCGCACCTTAGCAAATTCACAGTTCTCCCCTTCGAATCTCTGGTGTTTTAGTTTCTTTTTCCTTTTCTTTTATTTTCTGTTTTATTTTATTTTATTTTATTGTTTTTCTATTTCTCTTTCCTATTTTATTTTATTTTCTTTATCTTTGATATTCGTTCTACATTTTCTAGGATTTAGTAGTTTTGTTTATGTTCTTGTTTCTTTTGTTTATTTTCCACACCTTGAGGACAAGGTGTGAAATAAGTTTGGGGGTGGGAAAGTAAAATTTTAGGATTTTAATTATTGTGTCAGTTAAAAATTTTCATTCTTTTTTCAGTTAATATCCATAGTTTATTTTAAACTTTAGAACAAATGAACATGGTGAAGATGAGTCTCATAGTAGAGTCTTTTCTATTTATTTTTGCTTAGACACTAATTAGTGAAATGTACTTTGAAATTTGCACGTCACACCAACATGGTTTGTGAATAGTGAGATTGAAGCACTTACTTTTTGTCTAAGTGCATTTTAATTTTTGTTCTATATAAAATAAATTTAGTACGTGTTATAAAGTAATAATTGTTCCACCCAAGGCTTTGCCTAGTAACCGGGTCAGTCCTGCCTAATCAATAGTGATTCTCGCGTCAAACGGTAGAGTTTTGGCATGGGGCATGGTGGTTAGTTGGTTTCATAGCCTTTTCAGCTCGAGTTAATAAGTTCGTAGGGGTGTTTTACAGCTAGTACCTTAAAGCCCAAGTGGTTTGGGAGTCATTGACCTAAAGCTCGCTACATAGGTTGGATCGAAAGCTTAACTGAACTGACATTGACTTGAAACCCGTTATTTTCGTGTCGTGTCAGAAATTGGCGGGTCTATCCAGGAGGTCCTCTTCGGTTAAGTCCTCTTCACAGAACTTAAGCAGTGATCGGATTCTACAAACTTCATAGTTGTATTCATTTATAGACTTAAAGTCTTGGAAGCATAAATGTTGCCAGTCGTATCTTGCTTCAGGCAAGTAAATGTTTTTCTGGTGATCGAAGTGATCGGCCAAAGCAATCCAAAGGGTGTGTGGGTCCTTCTTAGCAAGATACTCGGTCTGCAGTGCATCATGGATGTGTCTTCGAATAAAGATCATAGCATTAGCTTTCTGAGCTTCGTCGACTAGGTCGTCGGTAGGTTCCTTGATGGTGGCTCGAAGACTCTTTACAGTAAGATGGAGCTTCATGTCTTGAACCCACTTTGGGTAGTTTCTTCCAAATACTTCCAAAGCGATGAAATCAAGCTTGTTCAAGTTCGACATGTCCCTAAAATAGAGGGTACAAAAAAAATGTGGTTAGTCATATGGAAAACCATATACATACATTGTAGAACATTCGGGTTCTATAGACATGTATTGGTTTAATTTAAACATGAAAGCTACGGGTTTCATGTGGTATGTTTTGAATGAAAACTTTGGGTTTCAAAGGCACTAAATTCGAAACTACAGGTTCGATTTTAGTTATGAACGTCTAGTTCATATATAGGTGTACCTGCAAGAACATGTAATACAATATACAACTAAGTGTAGTGGATTTATGGATTGCTTCCGGAACCCAAGTGTGAATGTGTCGGGACTACTAAAGATAGTCAACGGTTCAAAGAAAACAAATAATTTATTGAATCATTAATTGCCAAAAAGTAAGTTTCAAGCCAATAATTTTGGATTAATTGTCAGATTAATGGACTACGGGTCACTTTAATTAATTCAATAGATCATAACCATTCAAGTTTGATCGTAAAAGCAAAATAATAACATTCAGGTTAATATTAGCAGGAATGCTAAAAAATAGCTTTAGATTTGAAAAACCATAGCCCAATATTAGTAGGCTGGTTGCCGTGTACGGGGCAAGGCCCTAAAGGGGTTTAATGGGCCACAGGTTGGCTGCAAAGGTTGCCCAATCATGGCTGCAGGCCATAAGCCGATTCCAGGAAGCAACCCAGCAGCTAGGCTGCTGGTTTTGGGCCTTAAAATGGCGTGGGTTGCTAGTTTCTTTGAAGTTCACGAATCGTCGGCGTAGGGTTCGGCCTTAGTAATTATATTTGTGAGAATATAAGTACACCGAATTGGAACCAGACAGTATGGACACAAATACTTAAAAGAGATAAGTGTCTTGATTGTAAATATGGTTCGGCCGTAGGAATGCCAAACTCTAAAATGTACTTGTGAATATCCAATCATAAAATAAACTTGGCTTACAATGTGCCAAGCCTGGTAACACCTTACTTCGTCGAGGATGTTGATGAGATGACCTCTTCCAACAAGGACTCGGATATCCTTGTTGACCGAGACTTGGATAGATGACCAGTCGATCTTGAAACAATGTTGTTTATCCAAATTAAAGGTGTTCCTCGGTCGGCTGATTCTATGGCTCCAGTGCTATTTATCCAAACTGAAAATGTTGCCGGTTGCCTTCACAGTGTTGTTTATCCGAACTAAAGATATGTTGGCGAGAAAAAAGAAAATAAAAATCTCAAGGTGTTTGAGAGGTTTGCGCAAGGCAGTTGTGGGTTGAATTGGAGAAGCTTTGAATGATGCATCCCCCTCTCTATTTATAGTAGCGATTTCCCAAATAACCAAACTAGAACTTCACTTGGACTGAAATTCCTTATCCTAATCTGATTTGGTCTCGACCAATCCTAACCTCTATAGGACTCTGAACCAAGCTCTTTAATCATTCAGATTCATCCCTTGAAGTTCAGCATCTCCTCTAACTCAGAAGTTTTTAAACTCTCGAGAGTCCCTCTTGTATTAGGATTCGACCATTTCATCTTTATCCAGGCGAAAATCACATTCTGATAGGACTCGGCCAAACTCTACTGGGCTTGACCCAAAATATCATTTTGGGCCCAAACAGTAACCAAAGAAGTCGATGACACAGCGCCTCAGAGGCCGTAGGAGCAACTGGAGCAACTGGCGTAGGATCCACGTTCAGTGGAGCAGTGATCTTTCTCCCTCACATTCCTATTTAGATGTAGGTGCAGCAAATCAGACATCAACATTATAATATCCACATATTCTAAATCCACATCTTATAAGACACAATTTATAAATTAAAAACTAATTATCGAAACAAAATTGTTCTTTATTTGGATATATAAAGACTTACCCAATGGTTATTAGGGCTTAATTCATGGAGAAGGTTGTGATGAGGAGTGTGGCAAGTTACCCAGTTGTTATTTGTCCTCTCTGAATCTTTATATTAGCTTGTATCTTGTAAATCTCACACGTGATGAAAATGTGGTTTTTCATTAAAGTGAACAGTACCGGAAGCTTTTCGTTAAAGTTCTCTATTTAAAAATTACCTCCTGCAAAACATAATTCGAATTGGAAACAATCATCCATACACATCAATAAATGGACGGTTCGTTAGGAATATTACTTGGTCCCTACACTACACATTTAAATGACTAAATGATCTCCGATTGCAATAATTTTTTTTTTGAGGTAATCTTCATATGAAGACTAAGAAATTAAACGGTTCCAATTATGAAAGTTGTACGATCAATATACATTATTTGCAATAGGAGAATGAACTCATCTTTCCAAAAGGGAATGCAAGTATTATATATTTTTTGATCCCCCTTATTGGTATAAAAAAGTAAACTGGAAGAACAAGCTCAACAATTATATATAATTTTTATACAAAACCATTTAAGAGCTCAAGTTGGCCAAAAAAATATCATCAGATGTATTGCCATTCTCTAATTGATTAAAAGTTGTGATATTCTTTTGGTCTTGTTTGCAAAGTAATTGTCTTTTTCCTGAAGTATTGAGTTTGAAATAGTGTTTTCCTCTAAAGGTTAATGTTATCAAAGTTTACATGTAAACCCCCTTTTTATAAAAATAATTAAGGAAAAGAGCCTAACAAAACAAAATTTCAACTAAAAAACACTTAATGGAATTTTTTTTCAATACACGATATTATCGACACTAATGCACGTGAAAATAAATTAAATTTTATAATAGATTAATTACAATAATTTAGTTCAAATTTAACTTTTTTAATCATACACAAATAAATAGACCCCAAACAAAGACTCAGTCCTTCCACATGTTCTTGAAGCTGCTTGTGCAGAGAGTGAGAACTGGCGGAGTAGCAGCCACGCCAGACAAATATCGTTGTTACGACATACGACTCCTTCCTGTTCAATTTTCACTGCTAGTTTTTCTTTGTTTCTGATTTCAATATAATTAAGACTTACGAATAATTAAGAAAATAAACAATTTTTACAGTCACCTCAGACGATGGATGCAAGTATTTCCCTTGTAGATAATGATTTTAAATAAGACTGTGCTATCAGCATTTTTTTTTTACTTCTCATACACCATTTTAATTTGCGACCGTCGGATCGAATAAATATTAATGAGACTTTTTTTACTCTTTAATTTTAAAATTATGCCATCTCTTTGAAAATTATATTGCAGTTGGGCATGATTAAAGAAGAAGACCACCAAATTTATATTTCAAGTGGGAGTTTTGGGTGAGTGTTCATGGTGGTGGGTGTGATGTTGTTCTTGGGTAGAGGGCATCAAGTGAGTGATCTTGGTAGTGGCAGTGGCGGACGTTTGGATGCATGTGGGATGATGTTATGGTCGAAAATTGTTGGGTTGCCGATCGCCGTTTGAATGCAGGTTGTGGTGATCTTTTTCTTCTCCAAAAGCCCAAAACATTCAGATTAGGTTTGAATCCAGAAGTACATATAAAATAATAAAAAAATTGAACAAAAAGTTATGGCATACTGAGAAGATGACAGTTTCAGCAATTTTCAGATCTATTTTTTCTTTGCCTGACTTTTCAGATACCGAGGCCCACCGTTGTGAAAGTAAGAGATTTTTCAATGTGATTGGTACACAGGGTAGTACATCACGTGTTATTATACAAATGGTGGGATATGTGTGCTAAAAAGTTAATAACTTAAAAAATAAAATTTCTCATCACTCCTATTCCCCATCCCATGCCCTCCTATATTTTGTTATTACGGTTAAATCACGTCAACATTTTATATTGATTTTTGTTATAGAAATAATAAGACAAAAATTAATAAGAATATAAAATATTGACGTGGCTTAACTGTGACCACAGAAATAGGAGGGCATGGGGAGGGTATGGGATGGAGAGGGCAGACAATCCAAGTCCCCCCATTAAAACATATGATGTATCACTTATGTTCCTATTACAATTAAAAATTTCTCGCAAGAATCTTTTAATGAAAAGAAAACGAGCAACGTGTCACTCTATTATTGGTTTGGTATTCCGGGTCTGCTTGGGTTCTGTGTAGTTTAAAAAATTTATCTTCAAAGTGGCGAGAAATTTTTTCTTATGTGAATAACATAAGTGGTGCACAACATGTTATTATATAAGTAGTAAGAAATTTAATTTTTTAACATAAGAATCTCATCACTTATATAGAGACACGTTATGTACCATCTTGTATTCCGAACACATTAAAAAATCTTTCCAAAGTGGCATAGAGTCGTGAAGATTTGGCTTAAAAATTTGGTTTATAAAATTTGGTTACAAATTTTGATTTAAAAAATTGGTCTCTTTAACATTACCCATTGCAAAAAAATTGACTGAATTGTCCAATCTACAATTAATATGTTTGAAACTAGCTTTGACCTTTCAAGTTATATAGATCTATAAAACGAAGCATCAGCTAGCATTCATAATACTCAAAGTGAAATAGATACTTTGGGAAGAAAAAAAAAAGTGAAATGGCTGGAAACCTCTCTTAAAAAAACTTTGCTAGCTAGCTTAGCTCAACCATTGGAGAACTCCCAAAGAGCGCAATATCAATATGGCACTTTGGATTTGGGCAACAATTGGGGTACTTGCCCTTGTTCGCATCGTGCAAGCATGCATATCAAAAAGCAAGAACAAGATGTTACCTCCTGGTCCGAGAGGGTTTCCTATTTTTGGCAGCCTCCATTTGTTAGGGAAGTTCCCTACCATGGATCTTCGTCAACTAGCCCAGAAATACGGTGACATCATGTACTTGAGGTTAGGCCTCCAGTATACCGTCGTTGTCTCTTCCGCACGAGCGGCCGAGCTGTTCCTCAAAACACACGACCTTAATTTCGCAAGTAGACCACCTAATGAAGGTGCAAAGCACCTCATCTTTGGGCAAAAAAGCTTGAGCTTTGCTGAGTATGGCTCGTATTGGACCAACATGCGAAAGATTTGCATGCTCGAATTACTTAGCAACCAAAAGATCAACTCTTTCAAGTCCATGAGGAGAGAAGAGGTTGCTCTCTTGATAAAATCTGTTCAAGAGGACACCAATAATCGACGCATTGCTAATCTCACTGACAAGGTCATGTCGCTCGGGATTGACATGACCTGCCGGATGGTGTTTGGGAAGAAGTACAAGGACGAGGAGTTTGGCGGGAGGGGTATCGTGTCTGTGATGAAAGAGGGTTTGAAACTAGCAGCAGCACCTAACTTGGGAGATTTCTTTCCTTGTATTGCACCGCTTGACCTGCAAGGGCTCACCAAAAAAATGAAGGCTGTTAACAAGGTGTTTGATGATTTTTACGAGAAGATTATTGACAAGCATCTTCAATCCAAGGATGCAGAAAGAACGAAGGACTTTACTGATGCCATGCTGTCATACATGGGGTCTGAAGAATCGGACTACCGAATTGAACGCTTGAATATCAAAGCCATGATGTCGGTAAGTTTACGTATCATCATTTTACATATTTGTCTTTTCAATCTTGCTTGACTTCAAATTAAAACGAAATTGTTTCTTGTTACACAATTTAGCATGACGTGGTCTCAGATTGTGCTTTTGAACCATAAGGTCAATGTTTGTTTGAATATACAAGATTGATTATTGATGATACAAATTTGTGATTTATCATGTACATTAAATTGTCATGTACATGTGTCACGCTACTATATATACTTCATCTAGCAATGGAAAATTTATTGGCAGGACATGTTAGTGGCCTCAGCGGACACATCATCAACAACAGTCCTGTGGGTGCTCTCGGAACTCATGAGGCATCCACAGGTTATGAAGAAAGTCCAAAAGGAGTTAGAAAATGTTGTAGGTCTGAATAGAATGGTGGAGGAATCAGACACGGAGAAATTGGAGTATTTGGATATGGTAGTGAAGGAAACCATGAGGCTACATCCTGTGTTACCATTGTTGCTTCCTCATGCAGCCATCGAAGATTGCACTGTCGATGGCTACCACATACCGAAAAAGTCAAGCGTTATCGTAAACGTGTGGGCAATCGGGAGAGACCCAATCGCTTGGGGAGATGCAGAGAAGTTCGTACCAGAGAGGTTTGAGGATAGCAATGTTGATGTTAGAGGACACCACTTTCAGATTCTACCGTTTGGCTCTGGCAGAAGACGTTGCATTGGAATGCAGTTAGGGATTACTGTGGTACACTTTGTGTCGGCTCAGCTTGTGCATTGTTTTGATTGGGAACTTCCAGATAACATGTTGCCAAATGAGTTGGATATGACTGAGGAGTTTGGTCTTGCAGTTTCAAGGGCCAAGAATCTGCTCGCTATTCCTTCGTATCGCCTTCAGAATTGATCATGGATGTTGTGGACTAGCTATCTTTTCTGTTTTTTTTTGTTTTTTTTTCTACTGTCTTACATTTGTTTTCTTCACTTGTTGAGGAGAACAAATAATGGTGAAAATTAAATAAATTTGTGTGAAATTTTCAATAATGAAAAGTCGAGTATGTAACAACCTTATCAAGACGCTACTCCAACTCTTATGAACGGAAGTTGGTTTTTCACACACCTTTAACATTTTCTACACCACTCTATTTTTTGATCATCCAATTAAATAAATCAAACAAAAACAACGACCATGATTAAATAGGAGTGAATAGAAGAGAAAAAGGGCTCCTTACAAAAATACCAAAGATGTGCCATTACTGTAATTCACTTTATGGAAAACTTCATTTTAATCCCTAAAAAAGATTACGTTTTTAATAGTACCATATGTAAGATGAAAAACTAAAAATAGTCATTTGACTCGTGTCCACGTCAGCTTATATACTGCATGTCAGATTTAATTACTTTTTATGAATTTACTGCATTTTTGGTTTGCCTATATTACCCATTTTAAGGGATTCAAACACAAAAACTTGAAAAACATTTTGTAAAGGGACTTTTAGAGATAAGGGCTTGTCAAAGATGATTTTTAGAATATAACATGAAGGGTTTTCAATGTCTAAAAAAGATTAATGCACCATGACAAGTCACTTATAATAAAACCATAAATTTTACTACTATTTACAAGAAGGCCAAATCGGATAAAGGATCCCTGTGGTCATAAGGTATTCGGAAGATAGCCCCTATGCTAAAAAAATCGGATTTAAACCCCTGTGGTGTACTCCGTTAGCAAATTTAGTCCAAAAATAATTTTTCTGTTAACTATCTGTTAATACATGGGTAAAATTGTACTTTGACGTGTGCATCTTCTTCATGCATCTCCCCTACACAACCCCCAAACTCACTTCGCGCAAAAGAAAAAGGAGAGACCATTTTCAGTTTTCCACAGAGCTACCACCGCAACCATGGCGGCCACCATGTCTTCTCTTTTTCTTGCGCGAAGTGCGGAGGAGGAGGAGGAGGAGGAGGTCTCGCCGAAGCTCTCTCACTCTGGAACCATGGGTACCACTCAAACCCCCCTGTCTCTCTCTCTCTCTTCCTCCCACTCTCTCTGTATGTGTGTCATTGGTTTTGTATATGTGATAATATGCAAGTATCTCACGTGACTCGATGCACAAGTGTCGTGCTACTGGAGGCAAGAAGAATGCATGGAGGAAGAAGAGAAAGTAATGCTTTCTGCCTTCAACCCTATTTCTCTCTCTGCTTTACTCTTTGATTGCTTGTTAATTTTCCTTCATTTCTATTATTTTCCCTTTGTAATATTTTTTTTATTGATTTGTTATGTTGTAATTAGGCGACAGATCTGTTGTTAATCGTAAATTATTTCTGGGTTTTTTGTTGTGGATAAAAGGTGAGGTCTCACCGTATCTTCTTTTTCTTGAAAATGGTCTCTCCTTTTTCTCTTGCACGAAGTGAGTTTGGGGGTTGCGTAGGGGAGGTGCAGGAAGAAGAAGGTGAACATGTCAAAGTACAATTTTATCCATGTATTAACAGATAGTTAACGGAAAAATCACTTTTGGACTAAATTTGCTAACGAAGTACACCACAGAGGTTTAAATCCGAGTTTTTTTTAGCACAGGGGCTATCTTCCGAATACATTATGACCACATGGATCATTTATCCGATTTGGCCTTACAAGAATGTCATCCTTACTGTCTACAATGTAACCTCCACCATCAAAATTTGAAAAATGTAACGGTTACATCATTATCACTCATAAAAGTAACCTCCATCTTCATTGTCTGAAAAATACCATCTTTATTGTCTATAACTACCTACTTTTTGTTTTTTGTTTTGTTTTTTATTTTTTATTTTTTATTTTTTATATTTATTCAAATTTGATATTGTGTGGAGAATGCACTAATTTATGTCCGATAGTTTTGGTACGGCCAATTAAGTACGTTATATAGTTCAGGTTCGACATATTCGACATGGTCAATTTGGTACGATTTGTATTTTTTATGTTTTAGTTCACTAGGTACGACAGATTAGGTCCGATAGATTAGGTTCAATAAATTGGGTATGTTATAAAGTTTAGGTCCTATCAATTCGGTATGGTTAATTGGGTTGTGATTTCACATTCCATTTTCTCTACATACAAAATTGTTCTTTTCATTTATCTCCGGATTCATTTTTAATTTATTGAATCCAAAACTATAAAAATAAAAAAGAATACATTGAGACTGTAGGTACACTATATTGTTCTACGTACAAATTGTTCATTTAGGTACTGTCAATTAGGTTTCATTCAGTAAAGTCGGTTAGGTACTATATAGAGTAGGTCTGATCAATTCGGTATGGTCAATTAGGTTGACATTCCATTTTCTCTATTTGTATTGTTTTAATTTTTTTCATTTATTTCTAGATTCACCATCAATTTGGCATCTAAAAGCCTTTTTTTTTCTTTTTTTCTTCCGAATACAACGAGATTTTTGGTTTTTGAATTTCCTAACTTTTTTTGTTTGATCATGGTTTCTGAGTTATCTGGGTTCTTTGATTGGAATAACACATGGAGGTTTATGGTAATGACCATAATGTTATTGTTATAACGAACATGTTAATTATGGATCTAGTTAATTAAGCATTCTTGGAAAATTAATTATATATTTGTTTCTCTAATAGGTTTTAAGAGAGTAATAAGGGTAAATAGGGAAACTAAAAATGCAACAAAATTTATATAAAAAAAATATTGAATTAGACATTATACCTATACTAAAAACCCAACGATGTTGCACTGTTCACGGACAGTGCGCGGACCAAAATGCCCCTCAATTCTTTTGTTAAGCCACTTTTTTGCCATCTTTTCTACAGTAAAATGACTTCCTTGCCCTCTGACGCCACGCGTTTATCATCCCCGGTTTCGATTTCTTTGGATGCTTCGGTTTCTCTCTCCACCTGTCAACCATCGCTGTGTCTTCTGACATCTTCCCTTGCTTTTCACTCTTTTTGCTTCTGATGTTTTTCATTCGTTCTCCTCTAATTTCCGTTCGATTGTTTGGCTTTCGTGGGTTTCGTTTCCTTTGCTCTCTCTCTCCCTGGTGCCTGTGTTGGTTTCTGTTGTTGTTGATCTGTGTTCTCTCATGTCTTGCTCTTCTATCACCTTAAAGCTTTCCGGTGAGTTATTCAAAACTTGAATGTGGGAGGTTTTTTTTTTTTTTTTCCAGATCTATGGGTTTTATTCTCTTCAATTTTAGATGTTAAGAATTGATTGTTTATTTTGGTGAGATATTTTATTAGCATTTGTTATGTGTTCAGATCAAGGATTGAATTGGGTTTGGGAGTTTTAATTTATGATTTTTTTTGTTCAAATTTTTAGTTACAGGAATTTTTAATTAGTTTGTGTTCTGGGTTTCAGATTTTTCGAAAATTTCACTGTATTTCGCAGATTGGAGTCTTCTGTAACAATCGGAGCTGTTGGGATTTTGAAAAAAATGGGAGTAATTTTTCTTTTGGGTTTCGTCTCTCTGGTATTTATACTGAACCCAAAACCCCAAAAGATTTGAACTTTCTGGTAAATTAATTTACCTTTTTCTGATTTTTTTTTCTTTTTGGAGAATTTTTGTAAATTGCTGCCATTGTGTTATGAATTAGGAGAAAAACAGGGTTTCAGATGCAAAGGACGAGATGGTTATGTGTGTTTTGTGTAATTCATGATATTGTATGAAGTTTGGGTTGAGGTATCAATTTACTTGGAAATGTATATATACAGGTTGAATATGCCATTTGAGAAACTATGGTTTATTCCTATGTTTGGTAATTATTTTCATATTATTCTGGATTCGTTTAAGTTGCAGTTTGCACCATTGGAAGATGTTTATCCAATTCCAAGTATCTAATTGATTTTGTACCAATATACAGTACTCAAATGGCGTTCTAAGATTCATATAGCCGATCCCACTCAGTGACTTGGATTTTCCAAGTCTCCAACCGAGAAGTTTTCCTCACTCGGGAAATTAAGGAAACACTACCCCAACCTACATGCTCCACTCAGAAAGCTTCAACATACAAGCTTCAACAAAAGAAAATTCAAAGAACTTAGCGAAGAAGGCTTTGGTGTATTTAACAGAATACGTTGAAATGAAGGAAAGCTTATTTATTGATATCCCCGATCAGCTACAAATATGTACATATACATGAGTCAAAATAAACACACAAGACGGAGCCTTCACAAAGGTTGCTTAGGAGAAGTCTCAGCAGTCGGTAGAGCCCCAGAAAGAGAAGGCACCGGAGGGGGATCATTTGGAGCCTCAGTACTGGACAGAACCCTAGAAGGAGGAGGCATCAGAGGTTGATCATTCGGAGCTTCATTACGCGGTACAGCCCCAGAAGACGAAGGCAATAAATGCCTTTGGAACAAACCCACAAATCTCTGATGATCAAGTAAAACCTGACCATCAGTTTCCTTCATCTGGTCAAGCTTCCTCTTCATGTTTGTAGCATAGTCATGTGCGAGCCGGTGCAACTGTTTATTCTCATGCTTGAGCCCTCTAATCTCCTGTTTGAGACTCATCACTTCAGCCGCCAAGGATTCAACTTGGCGGGTTCGAGCAAATAGGCGTTGGGCCATATTAGACACAGAACCTGCACACTGAACACTGAGAGCCAGCGAATCCTTAACAGCTAACTCATCAGACCGTTTGGAAAGTAGTCTGTTATCTTTGGGAGTGAGAAGGTTCCTGGCCACCACCGCAGCGGTCATATCATTCTTCATCACGGAATCCCCAACGGTAAGAGGACCAGTAGGGGAGACGAAGGATGGGCGCCATATGTTGTCTGGAGAAGGCGGGGCTGCCTCTTCAACAAGGTTCAAGTCAAAACGACGGTCGGAGGGGCCAGACATTTTCAAAGGTGTTGAAGAGAGAAGAGGTCGGACAAATCAAGATCTTAGAAGTGCAAGAATGAAGCTTCTACTGGTGGAGATTCAAGTGTGCTTTGGAACTTAATGCCAGCCTCTATAAAAATCTGCACTCGACGGAGCTTCAGAAAGCGAAGAGGCGCCTGCTCAGAAATCGAAGAGGCGTTTGCTTTCTCAAAAGCTGGGCTGCTTAGAGATCACGAGGGTTGATCTCAGAAATCAAAGAGGCGTTTGCTTTCTCAAAAGTTGGGCTGCTCAAAGACCATGAAGGCCGATCTCAGAAATCGAAGAGGCGCTCGCTTTCTCAAAAGCTGGGCTCCCCAGAGACCACGAGGGCCGATCTCAGAAATCGAAGAGGCACCTACTTTTCCAGCCTTGTCAGCACCCGTCACACGCACACTCAGCTTTGCAGAAATTATGGGCATTCTGTCGAAGACTTCTGGGGAAGTAGAAAACACATGAATCTTACTGTTCAATCACCCACTTCCCACACGCAACAATAGCTCATGGGTACCACAGATAACTTTGCCAAAGTTCTCTGCCAAAGTTGAGCACGTGAAGCTTGCAGCTCCCACTACATCGCTCTGACCAAGAAGGGTAAAAGAATAGCAAAGAAACAGCACCAACAAAGTTTAGACCCATAAATTTTGAAGGTCTAGCTACCATATTATTACCCACAAGGGTAAAGGAACAGTACCACTGCTGGATAATTGGAAAGTCCCTGTGTGTCAACCTTTGTGCTTCGTGGCAAGGTAGACTAGCAAACATGCCCAACCTTTACTCACATTCGAGAAAACACTCCCAATAAGATTGCTTGCTCCAAAATCGAAGAGGCACCGTCCTCCGAATCTCGAGAGCCAGACTCCCAACGTGACTACTTTCTTAAAAATCGAAGAGAGGGTAAAGGAACAGTACCATTGCTGGATAATTGGAAAGTCCCTGTGTGTCAACCTCTGTGCTTCGTGGCAAGGTAGACTAGCAAACATGCCCAACCTTTACTCACATTCGAGAAAACACTCCCAACAAGATTGCTTGCTCCAAAATCGAAGAGGCACCGCCCTCCGAATCTCGAGAGCCAGACTCCCAACGTGATTACTTTCTCAAAAATCGAAGAGACACTGCTCCCTGAATCTTCGAGAGCCAGACCCCCAGCATGATTGCTTTCTCAAAAATCGATGAGGCATCGTTCTCCGAATCAATCGAAGAGGCGCTCGCTTTCTCAAAAGCTGGGCTGCTCAGAGACCACGAGGGCCGATCTCAGAAATCGAAGAGGCACCTACTTTTCTAGCCTTGTCAGCACCCGTCACACGCACACTCAGCTTTGCAGAAATTATGGGCATTCTGTCGAAGACTTCTGGTGAAGTAGAAAGCACATGAATCTTACTGTTCAATCACCCACTTCCCACTACATCGCTCTGACCAAGAAAGGTAAAAGAATAGCAAAGAAACAGCACTAACAAAGTTTTAGACACATAAATTTTGAAGGTCTAGCTACCATATTATTACCCACAAGGGTAAAGGAACAGTACCACTGCTGGATAATTGGAAAGTCCCTGTGTGTCAACCTCTGTGCTTCGTGGCAAGGTAGACTAGCAAACATGCCCAACCTTTACTCACTTTCGAGAAAACACTCCCAACAAGATTGCTTGCTCCAAAATCGAAGAGGCACCGTCCTCCGAATCTCGAGAGCCAGACTCCCAACATGACTACTTTCTCAAAAGCGAAGAGAGGGTAAAGGAACAGTACCATTGCTGGATAATTGGAAAGTCCTTGTGTGTCAACCTTTGTGCTTCGTGGCAAGGTAGACTAGCAAACATGCCCAACCTTTACTCACATTCGAGACAACACTCCCAACAGGATTGCTTGCTCCAAAATCGAAGAGGCACCGCCCTCCGAATCTTGAGAGCCAAACTCCCAACATGATTACTTCCTCAAAAATCGAAGAGACACTGCTCTACGAATCTCGAGAGCCAGACCCCAGCATGATTGCTTTCTCAAAAATCGAAGAGGCATCGTTCTCCGAATCTCGAGAGCCAGATACCACAGACCACTTTTTCAAAGTGCTCTGACAGAGTTAAAACATGTGAAACTGGCAACTCCCACTACCGTGCTATGACCAAGCAGGGTAAAGGAATAGCATTACTACTTGTTGTTAGGGAGACTCCTATATATGTCGACCTCCATCCCTAACGGACAGGCAGACCTGCAAAAATGCTCAACCCTTCATCATATCTGAGAGGGCACTCCCAACGAAGCCTTTCGAAATATTCAGCTTTCTTTCCCCCCGATAATACCTCTGCAAACAAGTTATACTAGAGCAAGAATATCTCATATCATCAGGGTTAAAAGCAAGAGTATCCCATATCATGCTTTTTCCCTGTCTTTTCCTTTGGCCTTGTTTTTACCTGCAAGACAAGGAGAAAGAGAGCAATCAGTCAGCACTTGGAATCAAGCTTCCAGCCAGGAACTGACTGCCTGGAACCCCTTACCTGATTACTTACCTGGCATTGCTCTCGAGTACTCATCTTCAACATCTTATGTTTCCAGGGAAGATTCCGCATCTGCTTGAGGAACAGATAGGGCAAGTGCGAAGGATACAAGGAAGCATGTGGAGACAAGCGTAACAGCACACGTGCCGATACATCCATTACTCTGTCAAAAGCAAAAGTATCCCATATCAGCAGGGGTGGAACGTACTCTAGATTTGATGGACTTGTTTTGACCCTCAAATTCTTCAGTCGGCCTTATACTCTGGAGGAAACCAGAAAACCCTCCAGCTCAGTTCAAGAATAAGCCTGTGGAAAGTTACTTCTTCAAAAGCAAAAGTATCTCATATCATCTCTTCTCATTTTCTTCTCTTTATCCTTCATGCTGCTGCAAGATGGGAGGAGAAGGTGAACAATCAGTCGGAGCTCTGATTGCTTACCTTGTCTGTCACCTCTTTCAGCAGACCCCCTAGCTCGGCGACTTGGGGGACTCCTACTACATGGTTTGTATCGCGCTTGACCAAGCCTGAGACTACAAGTAAGCTTCAAGTGAAATTGATACATTACCTTGTGCATCTCCACCAGTTAAAGATACCACCCCTGGATGGAGGAAGAGTACTTCCAGAGAAGATGCCACGTCTACCTATGAGACAGATAAGGCAAGTCAAGACGACACCACACTCCGATACTTAGAAGTTTCGTGATTACGAGATCATTCTCCCACAATATTTCCTAATGTCACTTGTACTAAATCATTCACTTTTACTCACTAAAGGAGAGCTTGAACCTATGTACTTGTGTAAACCCTTCACAATTAATGAGAACTCTTCTATTCCGTGGACGTAGCCAATCTGGGTGAACCACGTACATCTTGTGTTTGCTTTCCTATCTCTATTCATTTATATACTTATCCACACTAATGACCGGAGCAATCTAGCGAAGATCACAAAAAGCGACCGTTTTCGCTACCTAGGATCTATCTTGCAAGAGAACGGAGAATTAGATGGAGATCTCAACCATAGAATACGAGCTGGATGGATGAAGTGTAAGAGTGCATCCGGCGTGTTGTGTGACCGTCGTAGGCCACTGAAGCTCAAGGGAAAATTTTATAGGACGACAATAAGGCCAGCGATGTTGTATGGCACAGAATGTTGGGCGGTGAAGCATCAACACGTACACAAAATGGGTGTAGCGGAGATGAGGATGCTTCGTGGGATGTGTGGGCACACGAGAAAGGATAAGATTGGGAATGAGGATATCCGAGGTAAAGTAGGAGTAGCCGAAATTGTAGGAAAGATGAGAGAAAATCGGCTCCGATGATTTGGACATGTGCAAAGAAGGTCGACTAACGCTCCGGTTCGAAGATGTGACTACGGGACAGAGGTTCAGGGCCAAAGGGGTAGAGAAAGACCTAGGAAAACTTTGGAAGAGACTCTAAGAAAAGACTTAGAGTACTTGGATCTAACGGAGGACATGACACAAAACCGAGCGCAATGGCGTTCTAGGATTCATATAGCCGACCCCACTTAGTGGGAAAAGGCTTTGTTGTTGTTGTTGTATACAGTACTCAAATGCTCTCAACGAATACCCGCTTTCTCCCTCTCTCATGATGATTGCTGCGTATTACCAGGCCGAGAGAAGGGGAGAATCCAGCCTTCCCAAACTTCGCATGCCTTCTTGGCTATGGAGGATCAACTGGTGCAATTGAAATTCCTTATAAAGTTTGGTAATTATTATTGACATGGTGTGACGTTTGCTATTAACTACGCTGAAATATTTGAGAAATGTAGAGTAAACAAAAGAGAGAAGGAATTTTAGAGATAGAATGATATAATAATTGCTCTGTAATTGTATGATGAATTAAGTAATCAACAGAGAGAGAGAGAGAGAGAGAGGGAGAGAGAGAGAGAGCTAGCAACTTATACAACAACAAATCACCTCGCTTAGCTCTCACGACACATACTCAACATGCTAACAAACACTAACCTCTAAACTGATCTGCTGAGCACCTCTGTTTATGTACCCACCACTCATCTTTTGGCACTAATCAATATTTGCAAAATCTAGAGTTGCAGAAACCCCATTTTTAATGAATATTATTTTTAGTTGATAATTAATTGATGATTAATCTATTCATTGTGCATTATTTTATCACCAAATACTTTGAATATTCATTAGCAAAAGATATAGGGTTCACTATTTAATGAATAGAATTTTGATGCTGGATTGCATTTCCTGAGTTATAGATGTGGTAAATCCATTATTTAATAGCTGAATAATCATAATGTTTTGGCCACTTATCTTGAATTTTGTTCAAATTGGAGAAGTCACATGTTTCTTAAATGGAAACCTGTGTTATTTGAATTTGGCTTTTACACTCGAAGTCAAACTGACTCTAGCTTGAACTACATTTGTAAATCCCGTGTTGTGCAAATTACTTTACACAGCATGACCTGCATTTCTAACTGTTTGCTGCTCTATACATTAAAGATAGTGTACATCAATTTACTCTTTGTAGTGTATGTGACTGTGATCTTGAATATTTGATATTCTTTGAGATTTTCAGCATTCAGGTTTTGAATATTTGCTTTCCATGTTTGAATATTTTGTTCATTCAGTTTCAAGTGTTTTCTTTTTGTGTATAAGAATATCTCAGTAACTCATTGTTCTTTATTTCCTCTAGGTTGTGATGGTCGCTATTTTTCAAAGGATGCTGTTGAATTTCAAGATTGAAACCGCTGGCTTTCAATCTTTTTAAACAAGTTACCTTTGTAAGGTATCAAAACTATAATTTTTCTGTACAGCTAAGACTTTGGATTTAGTCAAATTAGGTGCTCAATCAGTTGATATAATGCCATTTACTTGCTTTTTTATTTATTCCTTACCTTTTGTTATTGTGATGTAATTCGGTAAGTCATTCTTATTGGGCGGTTATATTTTTCTCATAATTTTGTTTGACATTATTATTTAATCAAGGACAACACTGTTTATAATAAAAAACTGATTAAATAAACCATGTAAAGAAAAGTTGTTTTTAATTTAAGAGCAGTGGGTTGCAAGGTAGATATAAAATGTTAAGGTGGGATAAAATTGAAGTGGCAAGGGTGGGGAAAATATTTATAATTTGTGGTAGAAAAACAGAAGAAAGATGGATTGACCTCATCTGGATTTATTTAATTTTTGTTTTAAAAAAAAAATTGATTCAGGATTTACATGGTAATTTGTGTTGTGATTTAAGGAATTCTGTGTATTATGATCTGTGAGTTTAATTACTCATCATTTTTTTTTATCTGTTTGTTTTGCAGGTTGTCTTTGTGTTAGAATTGCAACAGTTTATGCAACTTTTCAATCTTTAAACTGTTTCAGGGTAAGATTTAGATAACAATATAGTTGGCTGAAAATTTGAAAGAATGTGCTGGCTTTGTTTTTGCTGAACCCAAGCGTTTGTTTTCTTTTTTGTTAACTAATTTGAAAGCTGTGCATAGACGGTCAACTGTGGCCAGATCTCTTGATAAAGCATATGCACCGAATTGGAAATATCAAATTATCAAAAATGAACCAAGTTGGTTTATAATAGCAAAATGTTTTCCAAAATAGTAGAATGTGAACAAATATATAATAAAGAGCAAGTGGAAAAACGATACTTACCAATATTGACAATGGATTTTTTGGAGAGAATGTTATACACAGTATTTTTATTGCCCCTATTTGTATCTTGAATTTTGTAATAGGTATAGATAAAGATGTGATTGTCCTATATATATTTTGGTAAATCATTTTTCTTATATCCTTCTGTTATCATGCTTGCTCTGGATTCTACAGGTTTTTTCAAAGTTTATTTGGTTGCTGGAAAAAAACTGTGAAATGAAGGGCTTCAGAGTTCGATCATTTGTGCCTCAAAATTGGTAAGGTTTCTTTCCCCTATATAATTTTGATTGGTACTTATAGATTTTCATCATAAATTATTGTATTCTCTTGTAAAGAAGTTCATTTTTGACACTTATGTAAACTTTAACACCACTTCACCAGATAACTTAAATTTGTTTTGTTTGATCATTATGTTATAATATTCTATGTGGTTATAAGTTTGAAAAATGTGGGGAGACGGATCAGTTATGAACAAATTAGCATGGTTCATCCTAATGTTATATAAGTTAGGTTGCTGATTTGTTTCCTCATCTCTTCATTGGTGATTTGTGTTTTCAGTGACCTTCCATTCTTGGGTAATAAGTTTTTGTGAAGATAATGTGTTCAGTTCTTTTTTTTAAATTTCTGTTATGTGTGGTTCTATGTCATGTGATTAGAGGTTCCAAAATAGAAACATTACTTATTTTATTTGGTCAGAGTGGGGAGGAAGTTCTGTTCAATTTTGGTTTTTCCAATGGCTTAGGAAGAAATTATGTCACTATTGGTATTGCAGTTGTCCGCTTGCATAAATTACAAGGTATGCTACAATCTTCTTTGGTAGATTTGATTCAAATTGATAGATTTCGGTGAGAAAGAAACTTTTATCTTTTCCTTCAGTTAAGGACTCTTAGGACTTCAAATTTGTAAAAGATGTGAATATTAGAACAATGGCAATGTATGTGAATATTAGAACGATGGCAATAGAACTGCCAACCCATATGGATTGTAAACAGATTTCAACATATATCTAAATAGTATTGCATATCGTATGTATTTAGAGCTTTTCACATATTTTATAGTTTTAACACCCACAGCATCGCGCGGGCACCGTTGCTAGTGGAATTCTGTAATCTGATGATAGGAGCATATTTATGCGACTTAGTTGGTTTGTTCTTGTGCATTTATGTCGTGTTTCCTTAGTTATTTTAATGTTTAAAGTCATTTTCGTGTGTTTTCAGATTTTATGGACAAAGTAGGCAAGAAGATGCATTTTGGAGCAAAATGGAGCTTGGAATGCATGTCACATATTTGGGCCAAAGTGGATGGACGAATTTGAGAACTAAAGAGGCCAAGAATGTGAAGAATTATGGTCCAAAAAATGAAGAACTCAGCCCAAAAATTTGTCACCCCAACTTGCCTTCATTGCCATGCAAAACAACATAGAATTCCCTTTGGATTCCCATGCCATGCTTGATCACTTTTGTCCCCTACATAATTTCTGATTTCATGCTTCAATTCATTTAATTATTACACTTAATTGCTAGATACCTCTTGTTCCCTTCACCCACAAAATTTTATACAACTTTCACAACCATAACATGCACCAATTGATGCTCCATCATTCACATTTGGAATCTCATGCCTTGTGTACCACATGTTGCTGTACCTTTGACCCATTTATTGACACATTTTCACCTCCCTTTCCATCTCTATGCAATGTACACAATCATTCATGCCCCCTAGCTACAAGACCACTCCATTTTACCCTTCACACTTTGCATCATCACTTCATTTTCACCCTTGGACCATTGCACACCACATACTCTTTGCCATGCATTCTACCTAGCCTAACCTGATTCTCTAAGGTTTTTGGGGCCTATATATACATGTTTACATCCCTTGGCAAAGGGTTCACACTCTCATATTCACCATTCATCACAGAAATTCGTCCATACTCACCCTAGGTAGCAAAACACCCCAAAAACACTATTCTAGTGCCTAGAAAACATAACAGTCACTCCACCTTCTTCCACCCTCATTGCCTAGCTTTCCACCACCCTCCAACCCTCAAACACTCCTCCACACTTACCCTAAACCTTTCCATACCATTTCCCATCCATTCTACATCATAAAACTACCCAAAAAAACTGTCCACAAAGCAATCTGCCGCAAGCAAGGGAAAGGATAATTCTTGGATGCACTTGTTGCCAAGTTGAAGCATTTTAGGTGTTTTCTTTCCTTTGATTTTAATGTCTAATTTTATGTATCTTTGCTTTGTGAGTATGAGGAACTAAACCCCTCTTAGTTAGGGGGTGATTCGAAACTATGTTCATACTTGCAATATGATTTGATTACATCCAGTTGTGATTCATAAGTTGTGAATTCAATTTACTTATCCGATCGTATAAAAAATGATTTGTGTATGTTGGTTGAGAGTGCACGCTTAATTTTCATGCATGAATTTAACGCTAGAATATAAGGGAGTTTCACCTAATCGTTATGAACTTATATTCACAAGTAGTGAAGGTTGCTAGTCACAATCACGTTAAGTAAATTCTTGGCATAAGTTTCATGCAATTCATAGTAACGAGTGCTTCGTCAATGCTTATGTTTTTCATAGAACTTAATGATTCTTGCTTGTATCTCTATTATGCAATTCATGTAGGGAACTTGTAGGGAATGTTTTGAGTTGTCGTATGCAATCATCCAACCCAATAACTTGTGGAAAAACTGAGGGTTAATTAGTGCAATTCACGGTTAATTTGAGGCGTTGAGTATTCATAGCTTATCGAAAAGCAACTGGAAATCGTTTTGTATGCAAGTGTGACATGTGTGGAGAAGAACCTCCTAGCTAGCCTTCCATCCATAAGTTTCATTCAAATTCATTTTACAATCTGTTTTGATTCACTTAAATTTGTCTAAGAATTTGTTTACTTTGTTCTTGTCTTAATTTAATTATTTTCGTCCAAAATCAACCCCATCTTATTTCTTTGAGTCATATTAATTAGAACTTGTCTTAGATTATGTTTTTAAGTGTTTTAGTTCATTAGAAAACCAAAATTCGTCCAAGTTTGTGTTAGAGTCCCAAAACTGCCCAGATTGTGTGTTTAAGGTAGTTTTGAGTGTTTAGGGGCTGTTTTGAGTCTTTTGGTTTGTTTTAGTGTTTTAAATTATAGTTTTGCATTCTTTGAGTCTAGTTAGTGTTTTAAACTTTGTTTTTACGTTTTCAAGTCAGTTTCCAAGTGATTTAGCAATCCCTCCTAATCCCCGGCCTAGAACGACCCCTACTTACATACTTTACTACAATTGATAAAAAGAGGGTTTAATTTTGTGTGTTTAGTTATTTTACGCATCATCTGACATGGAGGACTATTTTTAGTTTTTAATCTTACGTACAATATTATTGAAAAAACAATCTTATTTAGGGATTAAAACGAAGTTTTCTATTTTGTAAACCATAATTAATGTATAAGGCCTAACGAATCAATAATGCAAAAATTATCGGACCTAATGAACTAAAACATAAAAAATACAAACCGTACCAAATTGACCAGACCTAATGGACTAAAACATAAAAAATACAAATTGTACCAAATTGACCGCATCGAATCTATCGGACCTAATGAACTAAAACATAAAAAATACAAATTGTACCAAATTGATCATACCGAATCTAGCGTTAAAATTAATGAGATTCATTAATTTTGGATTAATTTTTTAATTAACTTATTAATTAAAAAACGTTTTGATTAAGAGACACAACTCTTAGAAAGAGTTGTGCATTTTCAAATACGATGAACAAGTATTTGAAAGGGTGTGAAACAACCTATATAATTGCAATCACAGTTTCCAAGTAGAATCAGCTTTTCTTCCTCTTTTCTTCCTCTTTTTCATCCTGTGTTCCTGACACATTGAAAAATCTCTTGTCCAAGATATCCTTGAAGTCTCCAATTACAAGACGTGGGTCATTTGCTCCCTGAATCCTGCTGCCAAGAATTCTCCATTGGTCACGCCCTTTCTTCTCATCTGTACTCGCATACACTGCAAATAATCTCCAGGTTTGTTGTTTTTGTCCATCCATGATATGAGCTTCAATATGGAAGTTACACAAAATTAATGAATTAGAATGTATATCATAATAAATTTAAAGTTTAATGTGGAGTCATTAGATCGTTAACTATTAAAACAAAAATATAATATAAATTTGAATTAAGTATACATTAAAGGGCTTAGGTTCGATTCTCGCCAAAGACGGATTTGAACCACATTATTGCTAACCTATTGTGAGACATAGCCCACTCCCTCATCCCTTTACTATAGATAATATCATTTGTTAAAAAAAAAAAATTTGATATGTAATCACCAGATTTTATTAAATTTTAATCTTCTTCAAGGATTAAAGTTCAAAAACTCATTTAATTCTTATGATTTAGAACATCTCTAAAGGAGATGTCATGCCAATTCCTAATCGATATGTAATCAAACACCATATTTTATTAAATTTTAATCTTCTTCAAGGATTAAAGTTCAAAAATCCATTTAATTCTTATGATTTAGAACATCTCTAAAGGAGATGTCATGCCACATAGGAATTGACATTTCGGTTGAAAAAATCATTAGTTTTTTGGGAAAACTTGATATAAGTCCAATTTTTTTAGCCAATAGTAGGAATAGTCCAATTTATTAAAATAAGTCCAATTCCTTAAATTTAATTATTTTATTATCAAGTTTCAGCATGAAATGAATATCGTACTTGATTTCAAAAAAAAAAAAATTATTATCAATAATTATCTATTCAATGATAAGATTTATTATAAAAATCAAATTTCTTCCTAATTATCTCTTTGATTATTTCTTTTTATTTTTATTTTTTGTTATTTCTTATTCTTCCTCTTGCTTTAAACCCCATTTATAGATTTTATTTTTAATTTTTATAATCAACCTATATCACAGGTTAATTATTTTTATGTATTTATATGACAGATTCTTTTTTATAATCAACATGTCACAAATTAATGTGTCTTGCTTGTAGGTATATTATGTTTTTTCCTACCTTTTAGTTAGGTTTCATATCTCGCTTACAGGTATAATATATATTTATATATTTGTTACTTGAGTTAAGGTAGAATGTTTTGTAGATAATTTATGTTAGTATATTAGTTTTTGTTGTTGTAAGATATTAACTAGATTTTTTAGAGTTGAAAAATACATAATATTAGAAGATTTTAATTGATTTTTAATATTTAAATATATATATAAAATGAGTATAAGAGAAATAAAAACATGTAATTAGATAATTGGACTCCCTCCTAAAAATCATCTATGTTTTTTGACCTAGATCTAAAAACCCCTAGTTTTTTTTATTGTTATTGCTAATATGAACTTTTTTGACATCTCATTTGAAGATGTTCTTAAGATGTATTACGATTTTTTATAATTTTCAATTTTATCACAAAATTGACAGAATTTTCAATTTTACAATGTTGATGTTAGAGGACACCACTTTCAGCTTGTACCGTTTGGCTCTGGCAGAAAACGTTGTGTTGGAATGCAATTAGGGATTACTGTGGTACACTTTGTGTTGGCACAGCTTGTGCATTGTTTTGATTGGGAACTTCCAGATAACATGTTGCCAAATGAGTTGGATATGACTGAGGAGTTTGGTTAGTAGTTTCAAGGGCCAAGAATCTGCTCGCTATTCCCTCATTTCGCCTTCAGAATTGAGCATGGATGTTGTGGACTAGCTATCTTTTTTTTTTCTTTTTTTTTCTTTTTTTTTTAATGCTGTTTACATTTGTTTTCTTCACTTGAAGAGGAGAACAAGCACTGGTATAAATTAAATAAGTTTGTGTCAAATTTTCAATAATGAAAAGTTGAGTATGTATGTGAAATCCCGTCTCTGGAATTTCATTATATAATTACATATTTCATTATTTAAATTCTTATTTCGTAATTATGTGATTTTTATTTTAAACCAAATTTCGTTAATTTTAGAATTTTATTTACTTAGTTACAAAGTTTGAATTTTTGTAAGCAATCATTTAAAAACTGTAAACCTTTAGTGTTCTCAAATAGAGCTCAATCCCACGAGAATGCAGGTGAAAGCCGTTGGCGAATCGGAACGATAACGAAGAAGTTACGGACGTTAAAAGTTCGATATAAATAATATAAAAACCCTGTTATAATATAATATGTAGATGACCCATATGAATAGTTCCTTACTATTCATCTGTGGAAAAATCACATGGATTACTATTTTTGCAAAGTAATTTCCCTATTCCTTGGAAGAAGTTTGTGTAAAGTAAATAGTATTGCTACATTATTCAATTAGATGAAAATCTCATAAATCTCATAGGTCACTAGACCTATTTTTCAAAAAATAGACTACTCTTAATAATAGCTCACAAAATTAAATTTATCCACAAATTTGATATGGCATTCGTGTCCCAGACAATGACGAGTGATGTGTGATTTCAAAATTCACATACTACGTGTTTTTGTGGTTGTTGGAGTTTTAAAAGTATACTGAAATGACTGACGCACCATTCCATTGCCACTACAAAGCGAGGGCGATCAACAGAAGAAATCTAAATTGTCGTTTTAGTCAACTAACCTTACGGTGGCACCTTGACCTTTCTACCAATTTCTTTTTATTTTCTCGACCAACAATTAACAAGGTGTCAGGGCATGCAACGTGATTTATTTTTTATTTTTTAATGAAATGATCACAGAGCGGCCTTATAATTTTTGGAATGTGCTATTCACACTTCTTTTTACTTTTCACACATCTTTTGTTAATTTCTTTCTGTTAATTTTCTTCAATCCATCTGATCTGATGGTCGAAAACCAAAAAAATATGAAAGAAGTAAAAAAGGATGTATGGATATCACATCCCTATTTTTTATGTCTAAGAAAAATTGGATCGGCCGAGGTGTCTATATGCCAAATATCTCGAAAAATTTCGGGCCAATGAGCAAGTCGCTCTGCTCGGCCCAAATTTTAGCTCTTTAATTATTTTTATTTAAATATAAAAAATAGTAAAGTTGTTGAGAATTAAATACAAAACTTTTTGAAATAAAAAAAAAATTAAGACTTTTTAATTTTATTAGTTCTCAATTACCATTCCAAAATAATATATTTGTTTGGTTAATATAGCCATTATATAAGTATTGGAAAACAAATATTTCAGATTAAGAACTTTTGACCCCATCAAAACAACAACACTTAATAAACAAAAGGCGTGTACAAAAGACATCAAATAAGTTTTTGGTCTTTGGAGTAATAATTTAATGAGGTCTAATAGCGTATTGGATGCGTTCATTTGCCAAAATGAGAAACAATTTCAGATAAAGAGCTTTTGACCTCATAATTACAACACTCCAAAAACAAAAAACATGTACAAATGACACAAAATAAAACTTTGACTTTTTGAGTACTCATTTTATATGGGTCTAATGCATATTGGATGTTTTCAGTTCCCAAACACTCAAAAAACAAAACACGTATACAAATGACACCAAATAAGCTTTTGACTTTTTGAGTACTCATTTTAAGGGTCTAATAGCATATTGGATTGTTCATTTTCCAAAATGAGAAACAATTTCGGATCCCAAACTTTTGAAACCATCAATTAAACATCACTTCAAAAACAAAAAAAACGTCTACAAATGACACCAAAATAAGCTTCTAGCCTTATGTGTACTTAAATTACATCAAATCATATCGAGTCAGGCCTAAGAATCGAACCTAAAATGCAAAGCCAAAGCCCTATCCATTTATAATCGGGTAGCCTAAAGGCCAACCCTACGCCTGGGTCAAAAAATTAGGGTTGGGCTGGCTATCAAGCCTCATCTCTTTTTATAAGTCTATCGGATAGAGTCTTGGGTGTATGCTAATCTTGGTCGAGTTGAGATTCTATGTGCTGAAGTTTAGAGTGTTTTTATTGGGTTGCAACTTGCGTGGAATAATGGAATTGTTACAAAAAAAGAATAATGAAATTAAAAAGATTATGGCATAATCGAATTTTGCACTTGAAATACAATAGATGTTAAATGCAAAAGTGGATAATCACTCTTTGAAAAGTTAGTATTGATTTCTTGTGCTTTTATGCAGTAGTTATAGACTATGATTTTAAGAAAATTTGACAATAACATAAGAAGTTTATTTATTTATTTATTTATTTTTTTTTGTGGTTGTAGCATTCTATAAAGCATACTGAAAATGATTGAAGCACCATTCCAACTGTGCGGGCAATCTTTGGTAGCAGTCAACAGAAGAAAGCCAAAGGATAATCACCCTCTGAAAAGTTAATATTGACTTCTTGTCCTCTTATGCAGTAGTTATAGACTATTATGATTTTAAGAAAATTTGACAATAACATAAGAAGGTTTTTTTTTTCCTTTTTTTTTGGGGGCGGGGGTTGTTGTAGCATTCTAAAAAGCATACTGAAAATGGTCCAAGCACCATTCCAACTGTGCGGGCGATATTTGGTAGTAGTCAACAGAAGAAAGCCAAACCTTATATATAAAGAGAACACAAAAGGTCAATAGTGCTTTTGGTGTCATCACCAAGCTTCAACAAAACATTTGGATAAAAATACCCCAAGACAAAAAACTTCAAATGCATCCCAAATAATGCATCAAATAAGTCAGGGGTATTTTCATCATTTTAACAATGCTTTTTTTAATAATTAATTTTTTGGTACGGTTTTTTTTAATTTTTTATAATTAGTACCTCACACTAGTCTAGCAATTATGTGATTCAATTTTTTTTTTATTTTTAAACACGTTCAAAACATCTTAAAAAGCGTGTAATGTCGGTTATAAAAAAAAATCTTTCGCACACGGATAATAATGTGATTAAATAAATTGTCAAATGATTTTTTTTTTTTAACAAACGATATTATTTACACTAAGGGGGAGGGGGTGGTCTTAGCCTCACAATGTGATAGTAATAATTTGATTCAATCGGTTGTTTATTAAATATCATTTTCTCTATTTTTAAATACGTTCAAAACATCTTAAGAGGCGTATAATGCCAGATATAAAAAAGGTAATTCGCAAGCAGATAATAATGTGATTAAATTAATTATCAAATGATTGTTTAAAAAAAAACGATATTATCTACACTAAGAAGGAAGGGGTGAGTTTAACCTCACAATGGGCTAGCAATAATGTGATTCAATCAATTGTTTATTAAATATTATTTTCTCTATTCTTAATGTAAATTCTATAGAGACCGATTTTATTATGTGAATTCAGCTGCTTTAATTGGTTTATGAGAGGTTTCTTCTAGCATGATCTAAAATTATTCATTTATTTCAAATATTTGATTTTCCTTTTGTTTAATGTGATTCAATTTCTCTATTTTTAAATACGTTTAAAACATCTTAAGAGACGTGTAATGCCGGTTATAAAAGGGTCTTTTGCACACGGATAATAATGTGATTAAATAAGTTGTCAAATGATTTTTTTTTTAACAAACAATATTATCTACACTAAGGGGTGTGCTTAGCCTCACAATGGGCTAGCAATAATGTGATTCAATCAGTTGTTTATTAAATATTATTTTCTCTATTTTTAAACACGTTCAAAACATCTTAAGAGGCGTGTAATGCCGGTTATAAAAAAAGTTTTTCACACGCGGATAATAATATGATTAAATTAATTGTCAAATGATTTTTTTATTTAAGAAATGATATTATCTACACTAAGGGGGAGGATGTTGGTTTAGCCTCACAATGTGTTAGCAATAATGTGATTCAATCAATTATTTATTAAATATTATTTTCTCTATTCTTAATGTAAATTCTATAGAAACCGATAATTTATTTAGGACCTTGACATTCTTCCAATTTTTTTATTGAACTCCGTTAAACTTTATGAATTTATAACTCTTTTTAAATCGTTGGATTAATACCACTTGCTTGGGAAAGAAAATACTGCTTGATAAACTTTATATTTATTGACATCTTCTCACAACATAAATGATTGATTGAGCTTATCCTGATATTAAAAATATTTTATGAGCTCAACAGAATTGTACCAACTACCAAGCACCCCAAGAACAAACACCTTAAAACCTTCCTAAATGTGTCTTAGAGCATCTTCAAGAAAAATTATTGTTAAACTAGCTAGGGAACAATGCCAGAAAACTATTTTAGCTACTCAGTTTAATTTTTCATTTCTAACAACGCTTTATTTTAGCTACCCAGTTCAACTTATTAACAGTAATGGAATTTTTTTGGCTGCGAACAGGGTTTTTGTGGATGGGATTCGGGCTTGATCAAGCGCACTAGATTACGGTTGTCTATGTACGAATGGAAGCTAATTTTGTGACACATGGATTGGCTCGTTATAGTGTACAATGTCGTGAGTCATCGTTTTGGGTTGAAACGGGACCTCCATGGCTATTGCGTAGTGTCATGGTTGAGTCCAGGGTTGGGGTTCATTTGTACTGTGCATGTATGGTCTTTTTTTCCTTGGCCAAGGTTTTTCCCACTGGTTTACTCGATCAAAGGTTTTTTCCAAGACCTTTCTGATTTACATGCGGTTGATGTAATTGTTATGATGTTCGGCGAAGGCAGTAACAAGGTTAGGGTGGGCTTTAGCATATGAAGAGTTTTAATTGTTTGGGCTTAAAAATACTTATAGTTTAGACTATTTTATTATTTTTAATTATTATAGCCCACACAATAAGTAAAAGTTCTGATAATAAGACTACTTTTAGAAAAGGAAAGAGTTAAAAATTATTAAATAAATTGTTTACTTTAGTGAAAGTTCTAGACATGCTTCCTAGGTTCTCTAGAGAGTAGTCTATAGGTTTTAATATTTTATTATTTTTATATTTCCTAGGGAGTAGTCACATGGTTTTAA